AAACTTGAAATAATAGTTTAATTTAGGAAAATATACTAATAACTAAACTTGAAATAATAGTTTAATTTAGGAAAATCTAGTAATAATTAAAAATTTTGCTAATACTATATGGCATGATCCGATAAGAACCCAAATGTTTACCTAAGCCAACACATGTTATAGTATATTTATGGTTTCCCATTTCCTAGTGAAAAGTCATGAGATATGAAAGGTAATCTGGTAGTTTATATGACATAATATGTTTTGCTGCCTAAACCTGAAATCTATCCATGAAAGCTTATGTAATCATTGCACTTAGACTAATACCTTAACCAATAAAGGTTGATGTTAAGCTCCTTGTTTAAACATGTAGGATTTGAGTGAAAAAAATGAGATATTGATGTAAAAAAAAGAGAGACAAATTACCAAAAAGTGAAAGAATTTTGGAGCTATTAAAGTATGAAATTCAAAGATCAAAATTCTAAAGAAATCCAAAAATTTAAAGATACCAAAAATCAATCAAAGAAGGTCATGAATTCAAAGAAAGCAAATATCAAATATCGAAGAAGTGAAGAATTCAAATAACTCCATTTTGGTATCAAAGTTTTAATTTCTAGTCTTTACGTATGCTTGGTTGTTTAGCCAAAAATATCTTGAGGTTAAGAAAGATTTCTAAGAATTGATTCAGAGGGTTGCAAAAATGGGTGTCGTATAAACTAAGGGGTGAAAATTCATAAGGATTGTGAGTATTTAGGAGTGGGAAGTTTCTTAGGAAAAATTTAGACACAAATACATGCATTGCGGTCATGGGATAATGGTTGGGTTTAAAATGGATTGTTTTATGAGATATTGGTAAATTAAAAGTAAGTTTTCTTGGGGGCAAGCAAATGCGAAGTGTGAGGTATTTTGATATGTGTATTTTTATACATATTTTTATATATCATATTTTAATATTTTAGCCTTTATTATTCTTATTTAGACCTAAAAGGTACTTATAATGCTTTGAATTATAATTTACAACTATTAGTTGTTGATAGAGCAAAAAAAAAGGGAATGAAATGGAATTCGGGCTTAGAAGCAAAAAGAAAGAAGATGGATGAAGGCACCCAGTCACTACCATACCCAGTCACTACTAGAAAAACAGTCTTTTACGATGCGTAATGCGTGTTGCAAAACGCTTAGACGATGCGCAAATATGCGTCAAAGAAGACCCTATCATAACGAGAGACGACATGCTTTTGCACGTCGTTAATAGATGACACGCATTTATGACACCCAATGTGTATCATTAAAACCCCTGTCAAGAAAGGTCATGTCATAAATGAAGATGACACACATTTTTGCGTATCATAAATTTAAATGTTTAAAAAATATTTATTAATTTATTAATTTTTAAATTAAATTTGCATTTAATGTCTCATAATAGAAATAAAATACCATATACAAAAAATACAATCCATTGCATAAAATTTAATGTCATACAATTCTATTTCTTACAATATATAAATTTGCATTCATCTAATCTACTGTGTTTCATACAAAAAAATTTATTTCATTCAGCTTCTTCCATTTCCTTTATTAGCAGCTTCCGTCATTAGTAGTACAACTAAAAATTGAAATGAAGAATGGAAAACTTGTATACCTGCAAAAAAAACAAAAAAAACCAAAGATTTAATGTTTATATATAGTAAGAACATATTGAACGCATAAAATAACAAGAGGTAATAGGAAGTCATTTTCTATTCACTTCTTAGTATGTGATGATTAGCGTTGTTGATTGCAACAATTAAGCATCTGCTTATGATGAAAGTAGATACCATTTTCACAAAAGAGTTGCCTTTATCCAACAAATTGTTAACATGTCTCAATGGTTAATATGAAAGAAAAAAATCTTTATGAAGAAACTGTCTATTGATTAATTTTCTACCCTAAAGTTCAAAATTACATTTCTACCATAAAGTTCAAATCTAAAAATAAAATAATTCAAAATTACATTTCTCCAATACGTCCTGTTTTTGTTAGGAAGTTGCAGACATTACCTTTCCATAAATTTCATTTTGTGTAGAGATGAATCCAGGCAGTAAATGCAAATCAACACTACTTATTGCTTCTGCTGCAAGCAACAATATGGAGCATGACCCAAAACAGATGAGGCATTCATCTACTCGAAAGCTGATTAAATATATTCTCCCAACACTAACATCACAAAAATAAACAAATAATAATGACAATAATATGTGGCATTCATGGTAAAACACTTATGACCTTTCTTTCCCACCATTCACCTGTTTCATTGTTAACAATGAACAAAGTTACAAAACAATTGGTTGAATTAGAAAAATGTGTAAATCGCAAAGCCAAAAGGACATCAATTACATACTCGAGTGACTATAACTGTGATGACAACATTTACATATACAAATTAAAAATAAAATAAAATAAAATCAAGTAAAAAAGAAATTAACAAACAGCTTGTAATGCCTGCAGATCTCGGCTAGTCAATTTAGAGACGATAAGCATCAAAAATGACTTTTTCATGGAATATAATTTAGAAGAATTAATATTAACTAAGGTATAGTATATGTTACAAGGATTCCATACATATAAAGAACGCCGAAATCCGAGTTATAACGAAGAAATTATGACCTATCGAAGTTTCGCGAAAGAACCGACACGACACAGCGCGATATAAATAGTGAATTTACGTTAGAGCGATATTTAGCCAAAAAAATCTAAATGAGAATTGAATATCTCATCTATAATAGTGCAACAACAGAAAGAAAGACGAAAACGGACGTCAGACGAAGGAGTTATGAGTTTATAACGGAGTTTTCCTATCCTAGTCTACTAAAAATAATATAATAAAAATAAATTCAAAATTAGCCGACGGAGTCTAAATGAAAGTTGTAGATATTGTTTTTACCTACGCGTCGATATAAAGAACGTCAAAAACGGAGTTCGTATGCCAAAGTTATGAATTTCTGAAGTTCGGGGCGCGAAACCCCAAAACTGTCAGATACCACGATGTGGCAAGCAGTGCCACGATGTGGCAAGTCTTCTGACACCTCCTGGAGTCTCCCAGATGCAACTTGCGATGACACATGTAGTGACGATCAAGCCCACGACGTGGAAACAGTGCCCACGACGTGGAAAATGAAATTTTTTTCCCTATAAATAGATTTGAAGGGCCAGCCGTTTAGGGTTGCTTCATCTACTCTCTCCCACTCCCAATATACCCTCTAAGCCCTATTTTAATCCCCCGAAGCCCCGATATCAACCCTGACACCCGAAGCAAGTCCCGAAGCCCGAAGATCCCAAGAAGAAAAGAGTTTCCGAGTCGAAGCTCTGTCCGCGAGAAACCCGGTGTGTAAAGTGATCCCGGTTTCACCGAAGAATACTACTCTTAGAGCCGTAGTGTTGTTCGATCATCTTCTGATCAAGTGAGTGTATAGTCCCTTTCATAACATGATTTTAATACAAGTATTGTGTGAATGTATTAAGTATATGTTTTGGGTGAGTATGTGATCACTTTCTTCTTATATATATATATATATATATATATATATATATATATATATATATATATGTTAAGTATTTGCTATGAAATACGTGCTATGTGTTTATATATTGTTGTTTATTTGAGATGAGTGTGGAATGGATGTTTTATATAGGTGTTAAATGAGTTAATATGTACATGTATTTTATATCTACAAATATGTTGGGTAGAACATGAGTAGATGAATTAGATGAGGTGTGATGATAATTAGGTAATGAGAAATAGGTGATGATAATTAGGTGATGAGAGATAGGTGATGATAGAAAGGTGATGATAATTAGGTAATGATAGATAGGTGATGATAAATAGGTGATGTGAGATGAGAGGAGATATCATATCCTTGACCGGCGATGTGGCAATTTAGTGATGTAGTCATCTACCAAAGTATAGATGGCGACCACAGACTATTCTAGATGACCCCATGGAAACACCATCAGGCTCATAACCTGTAGGTGATGAATTACAAGTTCAGGCGATGTTGTAACTATGTATTCATGCGATGATTCTCTAACCCTTATAATGAATTACGAGTCCAGGCGATGTTGTGACTACGTATTCATGCGATGATAGCCTAACCCTTACTATGAGTTACGAGTCCATGAGATGTTGTGACTGCGTATTCATGATTTAGGAACGAATATATATAAAGGAAATGCGATGTAAGAAGATGAGAGGTAAATACGATGTAGGAGATGACCCTTAGGATAATTACTTATGGAAGGTACTTAAGAATAAACGAAGATAATGGGGATGGGTAATTGGGTTGATTGTTTGATGCTTGAATATAAAAATTATATTATTGTGGGTTGAATCCCCTATATGGTCACCAGGCTCCCAAACCTGAACCACTCAGTTTTCTTTGCGTTATAGGTAATGGCACAAGGGTATAAGTTGGTGGACTTAACGAGAGATTTTGGATTATAAATCAGTAGTTATAAATAATTGTTGTAAGGTCTATTATATATTGTTTATGCTATTGGTCTGTATCGGAACATGACATCCCGAGGTTTTATAATTAATGAAAAGTACAGTCTCTTTAAGAAATGCTTTGATAAATTTTATTTTATCATATTTTATTTTGGAAACAAATTCTGCAACGGTTTTCTATAAAAGATTACTCTAATTTTAAAAACAAAGCATAAACAAATCGGTATTTTCTGGCCGTGAAATCGGGGATGTCACACAGCTATGACTCACCTCAAGTGTGTATGTATCAGCCTTGAGTGACTGTAATTGTGATGACAACATTTACATATACAAATTAAAAATAAATATACAAATTAAAAATAAAATAAAATAAAATCAAGTAAAAAATAATTTAATAAACAAATATGACTCAACTCAAGTGTGTATGCAGCAGATATTGTTCTGTCACTGATATCCTTATAACACAATAACAAAATCAGTTAGAGGGTAGGGTATTTTGGTCGTTTTATAAACATATATAAAAAGGTTTGAAAGGTGTTTACGTATATGCTTCATCTACTTTGGCTTGAATGTCTATGTAGGTTGGGAAGTCATGTCCAACAAGAAAGTAGTCCCCACGCCCATACCCTGAGTTCTCTTTAAGAGAATCAAGAAGTGGGTTGTAGTCATAGCTTCGAAATGCCTTTGATCTTATGAATTCTTTGGCCTCTTGATATTGAGGATCCGATTTCAACTGCAAATTCAGAAAAATAAATAAATTATAATATTTAATTAACATACACAAACCAAATGTTCTTTTTGTATTCTCGCCAATCAATTTTCTCGGTTTTTACTGAGCTTTGGAACTTCGTCTGTTGTTGCTCCAAAAAGGAAAAAATCGTCCTCTCCAACTTCCTACCTGATTTCAACATTAGCACCATCTAATGTTCCTATAATCAAACATCCATTAAGTGCAAACTTCATATTACTTGTCCCACTAGCTTCCATGCTAGCTGTACTTTTATGTTGTGACACCTCACTTCCTGGTATAAGTACCTCTGCCACGGATACATTGTAATTGTGACACAAAAGCCTCACTTTCTGTTTCAACATGCCCAGAAACCACACACAAGTTTGCCATGAGGACAACCTGCTTATTTGGGTTATGATCCAAAATCCGCATATCAGAAATCTTACTCTCAAGGTCAGGATGTGTTGACTTTATCATCGCAATAAATTGTAGAAATTATACATACATATATTATATTTGAAGTATATTTTATTTATAAATTCAAGAAAAAAAGATATTTAAAACTAAATACCCATTTGTTAATTCTTCTATAATTTCCATGTGGCGAGGAAGAAGATTTGACATCACAACTTGTGACCATTTCTCCAATGCCTCCGGAAGAACAATGTGATTTGTATAAGCAATCAACCTGGTCAACACTCAACAACAACCTCTTTGTTATTATTTAAGGTCAAAAACAAAAAGTAACATGTTTTTTAATAAAATTTATAAAGCACCTTGAAGTCACATCCCAGGCTTCATCCCACCTTAGCCCTGGTCAACACTTGTGACCATTCCACCCGTTTTCTTCCTTCATTTCTTTCCTTAAGTCTTGAAATAATGTCCTAAAAATCATAAACATTCAAACTCTATTATTTTATCCTTTAATACTTATAAATCATTGATTGTTACAAATGAAAAATAAAAAGATTGTCAAACCTGCAATGATGCACCGCATAGGAAAAATTGTTGCTTTAGTCTAAGAAGTTTTCCTTCTTCTGTAGCATCCCCAGGATAAAGAACGATACAAATCTAGAGATAAAAATTTATATTATAGAATTTCAATGATAAAAAAATATGAACTTTTTGTCAAATTAGGAAAATATGACTTAAAACAATCAACCTGTTGAGCTCTAACATGTAGCTCAACTGCAGACTAATATTGTCCATCATGACAGTGCAAGCTCAAGAATTTTGATACATTTTGTGATTGTATAATGACAACTTCATTGGAAAGCTTAAGATCTGAAAAGAAGTTGCCTAATGATTCAGTTTTGTTTTCCCTTCTTATGGTACCATCAGGAGGAGCATAGGTGAATGTGCCCTTTAAAGTTTTTGTTTCCAGAAAACATAGCTACAACAACAATATTTCCACACCTTTATGTCTTGGGGTAAACTGCAGAGCTTCAAATAAATGATCATAGCACCAAAAGATATTCAGTTTCTGGACTCGGTTTTGAACACATGAAAGAAGACTCATAAGGATACCAAAGAGTTGGATAGAGGACTAACCATCAGCAGTAGCAAAGTCTGCAAGTATTTGAACCATAGCTGGAAGAACTGAGTTTTGTGCAGACAAGTGAAGAAATAGTTATTCCATCATCTATGGAAGTAAATCAGCGTTTAGATTAATGAGAATGTGGTAATAAGAAATGAAGGAAAAGGAACATACAACACAAAGTTGCTTCGTTCTATTCATAGTAGCCTTCAGATTCTCCGAAGTCTCTTGGTGATAGTCGCAGTCTCATCTTGAAACTAGACACCAGAGGTGTCACTCTCTATCAGAGTGGAGGGACTCCATCGGCTGGGTGTCGCTGGAAAGTAGCGGAGAGGAGGGGATCCTCCGGCTAGGTGTCGCTGGAAAGCGTCGGACGGTGAGGAAGGGGTGGATGGAGGTCAGATGTGGGAGGCGTCGGTGCCAAGAGAAACGTCAGAGGTGGGAGAAGTTGTCGAAGTCGAAAACTGAGAAGAAAAGAAAGGGTTTTGTCGAAGTGAGAAAGAGAGAAAGGGAAATTGAAGAGAGAACGTGCAGTAGAGGAAGGAGGCCGGGGCAATTTCTTGACAAAAAGCCCTAAAAAAGGAAGGCGGGGTTTTTAAGTTTTTGGGATTTCATTTTTCCCTTCAGATAGAATGCGCCTGCTATTAAAATTTATAAAGCAACAGCCTTAGACGACACACATTTTATTATAGGTGCCCTCCGTGTTTTTTAGACACCAATTTCAGGGCACGAAAAAAATGCGTGTCCTAAATCCTTTAAATTTTAAGAGAGATGACATTATTTTTACGTCACACACATTTGTGTATCGTAAATCCGTGCGTGTCATAAATTGTGCGTCGTAAAAGGCTGTTTTTCTAGTAGTGAGTGTAGTGTGACTTACGCCCAACGTACAGACGAGATGAAGACTACGCCTAACGTAGATATGAGTACACCTAGCGTACTTGGCTTGGGTCCGAAGTATTGATTGCGATGAGTTTCTTACCCTGCATACACCGACTTACGCCCAGCGTACGTAAGTCGGTTCCAAAGTTTATAAAAAACGATTTTGGCCTACCAGAAGGGGGATTTTCGACTACCATCGATCCTTAGTCGACAAGTAACTTATATTTGGCCATTTTGAGAGTCTAGAAGGTGGCCGGAAGGCCATTAAGCTGATAGGAGTGAAGATCTAAAGGATTAGAGAGCGGATTCGTGTCGGTAATCATGTGGTTTGTTATCATGACCGTGTTTAGCATTCCATTGTGATGTCACTATGTGTTTACTTTCTTATTTGGGTGTTAAAACCCTTTGCTTTGTGTTTATGATTAAATGAAACCTTGAATTTGTGGATTGATTGCTATATTGGTTTGTTTTATCCATGTTTAATTTATCTTGTCGAGCTTGTTAAAAATCCTTATGTGTTGATGATAATTATTTTTTGTTAAATATCAAGTTATTGAGTTGCATGTACATCTTCTTAAATGCTTGAATCATACAGTTTTGTGAACATAAGATTATATGCCTAGGAATAATGAATATGAAACTAGGGTTAACTAGCAAATAAGTAAATCAATGTGTGAGCATGTGTGATGAACAACCACATAAAAGTTGAGTGAATTAACATATTTAGTTAACTAATATTACAATTCTTGCTTGGTACGAACTGAACACTTGGAAACATGTTAGTTTAATCAACTTATCACTGTTGAATTGACTTGTTTGCTAAAGGATTAGTAATAGTGAACATGAACCTAATCATTTTAGAAATTTGTGAACATGAATAAACAAATCCGTGTGTGCAATTATCTTTGATTTTAAGATAAAATTTGTCTAAACCAAAGTACTTGAAGAGATTTGTCTTCCGGTCAGTTTATCGTGATTTGCTATTTAGTTGTTTGTTTGAGATTTAATTTAATAAAACCTTTCTTTACTGTTTTCGTGTGTTTTGTGTAACCTATAATCAAAAACTCCAAATTAATTCACCATCGTTCCCCTTGTGTTCAACACCCTTGCATATCTAAGCTATACTATACTTGATCGGGTTCACTGACTGTGAGGTGTGATTTAGATGCGATAAATTAGGAATTATAAATAAATAAAAAAACTAGTGCATTAAAGATTCACATCAACAACTTTCATTTAGATCACTTAGGCTAAAAGGTATCTATAAAAAAAACTCACTTTTACGATACGCAAAGTTGTGTCGGTTTAATAACGAAACTTCGAAGAAGCCTAACTTCTTCATACGAAGTCAGATTTTAGTGTTCTTTATATGTACGAAACTATGTCGCACATACTATAACTTGGTTAAGACTATTTATCATAAATAATATTTTTTTAAAAAGTCAATTTTAACATTTATTATCTCTAAATTAACTGACCAAAATCTGTGTGCATTACACATAACAAAGTGACAAATTAGACAATTATATATATATATATATATATATATATATATATATATATATATATATATATATATATATATATATATATATATATATATATATATATATATATATATACAGAGAGAGAGAGACATACGTTTACCATGCAAAGTCTCACGAACTCTTCCTTCTTTTCCTTTAATTATATCTTAATACGACTTGTAAACTATATTATGATCATCCCTCATTGGTTGTCTACGGATTCCATTATCAAGAAGTGCATCTACGACTTCTTTTAGCCATTTTTCCTGAGATATTATTAATTATTCTGGCGTAGATATACTTGTTTTTAATAGATCTATAAGAGTATTATATATATATATATATATATATATATATATATATATATATATATATATATATATATATATATATATATATATATAGTTGACATTTCGTTCTTTCATTTTCCAAAAGTGAATCATTATATTTTTAGCCTTAACTTTCTCAACTACTTACTTTTTTTACACTACAAATCAAAGCACCATTTAGAAAATCATCACTTAGTCTATTACGCAAATCGGTTATTAATAACTTCATTGCAGAAAAACATTGTTCAACGGTTGTAACTGTGATGGACAAAACCAAATTTGTTTTCACAATCTATAAACCAAAAGAAAAAGTATGTTTCCTTCTTTCCACCAACAAACGAGAGAGGTTCACAATTCCCTCAAGTTTACAAATTTCTCATCATTGACCAAAGAGTGATAATAGATATGAATTTGACCATCAAGATACACTATTTCTGAATCACTAAAATCATTTTTGTATAACTCGCTGAATTTCAACAAATTTGATTTATCAAGTCTAGAAAATGAATCATAAGAACTCAAAGCGCTATGTTTTTTTTATCAATTCAATGCTAACTTCACGAAATCGGTCCCAATATTCTTGAATTTGCATATAAAAAAATGTGTTAAAAACAAATTCAAAATGATGTTGATTAATCATATTGGTCATAGGTTTTTGTAGGTTAACATAATATTCCGACATTTACAAAAATCTAATACTATTTTTTTCACAAAAAAACATATCAATTATTTAATTTTGTAGAAACCCGTCCTTTCTCAAAGCTGGCAATGTCTTTATGTTGTCCCTTTTACTAATGAAGTTACTTCCAAAATATGTTGATTTTCTTTTAAGATGTTTCGTAAGGCATCCGTGAGGCCTGAAATTTCTAACATCAAATGTAAAAGAAACACGAAATTAAATGTCTTTTTTCATTTAATTAATATGAGATTAAATATGAGCTTAATTTTTTGGATTATCAACATACATTTTAGGCTAGTTTAAAATTGTAGTTTTATTTATTTTGTATTTGGATTTATAAGTTAGGAATAACACATAATTTTTTCAGGAGTAGCACTCTAACTAAAATAATAATAATAATAATAATAATAATAATAATAATAATATTAAACGAATTGAGGGGTAGCCTAGGCTACCCTGGCTCCCATGTAGCTCCATCGATGCATTTATCAGTTTTTGGTAGTAAGAACTATTGCAACGACATT